TTTAATTTATTTGATATTATTCTATTAACGAGTATAAGAATTCTATATTTCTTTTATATTACGATACATTAAATTTCAATTTTATTAGTAAAATCTTTCTACCCATTTACAAATCAATGATTGATTACAACAATTTTCATGCATTTATTGCAAAGTTTCACACTATATCTGATTTCACATATCACAATAATTGTTGTAACTAACGATTAATAATTAACTGTTAATTATAAAACAAAAAGTATAAAATTACAAGATCTGTGATGTATTACTCATTAAGTTTTGCTCTATACTTTTCTCCTTCTGATTGGTGGTATTCCTCGAGTCCATGGAATATATCACTGACTTCGTTCAACTCCTATACGCCGAGAGAGAGAAAATAATGGCAGGTCGCCGGGAGCAATTCGAAGTTAAAACCCCGATGGATCGGGCATTTTCGCCGGCGCGGCTGCGAGGAGAGCCGGGAGAGAGAAAAAATAGTTAAGAGGCTGGCACAGTAGAGGGCGGACGGATGGGGTGGGGGTGCCGACTTGAGGGACAGGTGTCAACGGCACACACATAGAGCGGGGGATCTTTTTCGGAGATTCTCAGCTACGTGAAAATCTTGACCAGGCAAGCATAGGCTGCTAAGTACTAAATGGTAAGGTGATTCTCTGGTGAATTTTTGGAATTAGTTAGCTGAAGTTCGTGGTGTTCCGTGTTCGTTACGGCCATTTTCTGCTGAATTTCGTGCGAATTCGGCCCCTGCGTATCGACTAGGTGCCGAGAGGGGAAAGTCTCGTTCTCTCCCCTCACACTCCATCCCACTGCGCGCATACTACCCATCCCCCTGACCAGATCATCCCCCCCGTCGTCCTCCCCCGTTCTCCTTCATTCTTTCTGTCCTCTGATTCCCGTTCTCCGCGCCGCCGTCCCTCTACGGCCACCCTTCCCCCGCATCGCGACGATCCTGGCCGCGTACAATGTTCGTTTTTTAACGTCTTTTTTCCGTGTTCTACCCTTTTCTATAGTCCAGTAAACCGTTCGTAATCCTCGTTACACGAAGCCGTGTCGTGCCTCGTTATTTCTTGTGAAGATTTGCATCTTTTGGTAATATTCGTGCGGTTTAAGAAGAGAAACGCGACCGTTTCTCGTGTGTACTTGGTCGTGACAGACGGCTGACGCAGCGGCGGCGTGGTGTTCTTGCTTCTTGTGTCTCTCGTGTTGTAAAAATCTGCCCCTACGCTCACTCTCACCTCTCGGAGACCCCCCTCCGAGGAAAGGATTCGATTCCACGGCGAAGAAACATGGGGAGAGGGACGTCGCTGTGAGTAAATACTCGGGCGTCGTTCGAGCAGGACGCGTCAGATATCTTCACGCGGCGTGTCGTGTATACGCGAACAATTCCGTTGTCAACGTCAATGTCGCCGAGACATCATCTCTGTGTTTTTCATCTTTTCATTCGAATGATGGCACGATCTTTATCGAGTCGGTAGCAATGCACTTCGTGAACACATGTCACTGGCTGACATCTACAATTTACTCGACGTTTAATAGTGTATTAACAATAACGCATCGTGGTTACAAGTCGTAGAAAAATGTTGAAGGATGTTGGTTGACGAAAGAAACTTTCGAGACTACTCTGTAACTTTCAGTGGATCAAGTGCCTGACACGTGTAATTATGTCGACTCTGATTTTCTTCGGCTTTTCAGGTATCTGATTGACGGTTTGCAATGAATTTCCCGCCGTTCGGAAGCCATTTTCCCGGTACTATTCCGAGTATCCACCAGTTCGCAACCGACGGCTCCGGCGGTGCGGGCGGGCGTTACGCCAATCATTTTCCCAACCAGCCTCCAATTGGAGTGCCGGTTATGGGAAAGTACCGTCCTGAAAGCAACGGCGTACAATCTGCTCAGTCACAAGTGATGATGAACAATAAAGCAAGTTATCCCAACAGCAATGTTCATCACTATCCAAATGTGCCATATTCCCAAGCTCAACCAGTTCAACAGCGGCCCTCCAATTCGCCTGGAATGCCAGAAAAGCGTTCGTATCATCAGGTAAGTCCTTTCCTCTTTCTAGAGTAATTTGAAGCGATAAACATAGAAGTACATTGAGGAAAATTGAAACTTTTCAGCAAGCGACAGAAACTATAAATCAACAAGATGTTTGCAATCTCCTACAGGATAAAGATAAGAATAAAGAGAAGAAAGCAGACGAGCAACAGCGCAATGGAGAAACAACAACAAATGGTAGCCAACAAGATTATACGATGCACCAACATCATCAGCAGCATGCTCATACTCAAACTCCTGCAACTATGCCTGCTACATGGCAATCTTTGGCCACTCCGGGATCCACAGTGGCAGATTACCTCAGTCATTTACCAGCCAGTACTTTACCATTAAGTTTGCATCATTTCTTAAAGTATTCTGCAGAAAGTATTAAAAAAGAATCAGAAATGGCACAAACCACATCTGTAGCTGTAGCAACTACAACAACGCCTAATATAATGTTGTCCCCAAATAATAAGAAGAAGAAAAAGAAGAAGGCACCTAAGGAGAAAAAGCCACGTCCAAAACCTGGTGAAATTCGTTTAACTACAGCTCTTGATGGTTCTACATTATATTGCTGTCCAGAGTGTCATATGGCATACCCAGAACGTGAATTATTAGAGCAGCACCTTTTGGGGCATACTTTAGAACGAAGATTCGTTTGCGATATTTGCGGTGCAGGTCTCAAAAGAAAGGATCATCTTACACGTCACAAGCAAAGTCATAACCCCGAACGACCGTACGTTTGTACTGTTTGTTTAAAGGCCTTTAAAAGAAAAGAACAGTTAACATTACATTTTGTTATACATTCTGGTGAAAAGCGACATGTATGCACGGAATGTGGAAAAGGGTTTTATCGCAAAGATCATTTAAGAAAGCATACCAGAAGCCACATTGCAAGGAGAGTAAAAGCTGAACTCAGTCAAAATGCTGGTGAGAATAGAAATATCTTGTTTCCCGTACAACAGCATGAACGAGAAATAAAATTTCATTATTATCATAACATAATATTCCTGTCTTTAGGTACACAGCAAAGTCAACAACAAAACAATGTTTCGAATATGCAGACTACAGCTGTGACAGCATCATCTGTTCTTTCTGGTGGACATCCAGGTCCTCTCCTGTCCTGAGCCCCGCCACCAGGGAACTTTCAAGTTCCCCATCCAAATAATATTCTTCATTCACATACTTCTCATCATTCGTTGCATCATCATCATTTGACGGCCGTTAATGTGGCGCATCAGTCGAGCGTCACGCCGCTTGCTACGTCCAGCCATTATCAAACGCACGATCTCAGTTTTTTGGGGCACGTTAAAGATTTCTGAGAGCAGGGGAAGACCTCGATTAAGAGGTAACGAAACCGACAAAATTATACGAGCACTCTTAGACAGTGAGATTTGACTCGATCGCTTTTCATGATTTGGGCTTTAGTGAGTTTTCTACGATTAAAACAATTATCCGTGATTCTGCTGACTCTCTATGTCCTAGTACAATAGTGCAAAAGCTGTGACAGTTACATAAGTTTTCAACAGTATGCACAGTTTTTATTACCTGTACATCAGGTATTGTTTTGAGATATGTACGTGTAGATCTTATCTCCAAAAAGTGTGCCATATATATATGTACATGATCAAAAAAAAATAGTGAAAGACATAGAGAGTGTTGCCATGCACACACAAGAGGGAAACCATAATTTTCTCTAGGAGCGTTAGATTAGAGCCTGATATAAGAGTCTTGCCATACTGTATGTATGAGAAACAAAACATATTTTTATGAAGGCTTGGTGTAAAACACAAAGAAGCTACTTAAGCTGTTAAGCTTATTAACAAGAGAAGAAAGAAATATGATAGGTCTTTCTTAATTACGTTAATTACTGAATTATTCGATTTCGTTTAATTTTTATAAGTTTAGTTTTTTATTGTTCAATCTAAAACCGTTAAATACAAATAACGTTTATGAAAAACCATAAATTATACGAATAGATTTGTACATAAGGATGCAACGAGTCATCCCACCGACTAATGTGTAATGTCTTTCAATTTTTTATTAAGTTGGAAAATGTTTCCTTTTTAAATATTAATCGCATCATTTTGTTTATTATATCTTGATCGAAAAGAATCAAGTACAATTGCAATTTTCAATGGAAGTTTAGAAAATTTAATTTTATATTTGAGTTGTTTAATGTTTTAACAAAGCATTGCGAAGCAGTAGCTGAAAATCGTGGCAATACTTTAGTCAGTAAAAAAAGAAAAAGAAAAAAAAGATTATTTTGCTCTTTTTTATCATTTCATTTCGTTTATATACAAAGTTGACAGTATTTTATATTTTACAATATATATTTTTAAATTTTTGCTT